CTCAATTTTGGCGTACCGACCGTGCTCATGAATTCAATGATTTGGTTAAGTCAGTCAGCGATCCACATTTTTTTGGATTAGTTTTAGACGGATTTGTGGATTTCGTGGGGTCATATGGGTCGTATTTGTAGAATTCATGCGAATTGAACATATCTCAGTTCAAGATAACTGATCAACTTCGACCATCTAGTTGCTTTTGAATGTTCAGATACAATGGATCTCAAGAAAGTGGACGAAGTAATTCACACGGCCGAAAACATCGTTCAAAAATGGCTCTTACTAGACGTGCGATGGGCAATGGCATCAAGAAAGGTGCCAGTAAATCAGTTAACATACCTCCAAGGCAAACCGAGGTTTGAATTTGGTTATTGTTTGTAGGATTTCCTTCGTTTCTTCTTACAGTTAAGGTGGTCTTGAAAAAACACGATCATTACAAAATTTATTCCCAGAAACATATCAAGCAACTCAATTTGCAGGCAGTTCTTGACTCATCAAGGCACGTTGTCTCGTACTCGTATCATCGAACACATGCCGTTATTGTCGAATATACACCCGACCCATCGAAAGATATGTTCCAGGTTCGTTCTTTTCTTTGGTATTCTTCAGGCGATTACAGTGTGAAGCGAAACTGACTGGGAATTTATAATATCAATGAAATAGCATGAATAGTTAATCGATCACCTCTTTTACTTTTTCTTCATAAAAGTGGGATTGAGCTCATGAACAACTTTATCTCTGTGTACTAATTGTGTTGATCGATCGGTCATACTTTTTGTTAGGCACTAAGGAAGGAGTTCATCGAAAATTGTTCATTAATACACGGTGTTTTCTTTTGTAGGTTGGTCGTTCATCCGAGGAACAAATCGATTTTACAATTGTCGATACATGGCTAGCTGCTGGTTCAAATATTGTCCTTTCTCCAGGTTTGCCGATTTCGATCGTTTAAGAAATTTCGTTATATTCGTTCATTTTCAAACGATGTTTTGATTGGATTTTGTTCGAAATGTTCTCAGTTCTGAATAAAAGTATTGGGCGAAATGAATGTTGATGGTGGACTGACGTTTGATGATAAATCCGGATCCGTACTGAGCATTCATTGAAGTGAGTATTCGTACAGGACGCGTTATGAGGATCGTAATGAAATTTAAGCAGGCAACAGTTTGGCGGCGCAGCGTATGCTTCGTACACCGAACGGAGTTGATGTGATAGGTCAACGACCAATATCGTCGACGATCAGTCGATATGCTTGTCGAATAATAATTGATCGTGATCAGCCGCATACGGCACGCCTTTATGCAGCCGGTTTCGACACCTCCAGAAATATTTTCCTTGGTGTTAGTTTTGGTTTTCATCACTTGAATCGTGCTTTTCTTAAAATTCCTTGTGGATTCTTTTCAATAAGTTATTCTTGAAAACTCATATCGAATTGGTCATCTGCTTGCAGTAATCTAAACTTTGAAATGTTTGTCGAATGGTTAATGAAATGTTTGGATTATTGCTGATTTGAGAGGAGTGAATTCTACAAGATTTCCAGCCGGAAAGTTGTTTTTCTATCGTACGACAAAGTCGAACAAATAGTTATTCAGGAAAAAGCAACAAAATGGACGAAAAAGAACGGCGAAGTGGATGGTCTGACGACAAATGGAATACTAATCCTTAACCCGCATGCATTTAAGGAACGGGTTGGTATTAGTCTTTCTTGTTATCGACCGTTTTCAGTTTTGAAGCATACAGAAAAGAAGTGTTACAAGTGTGAAGGATGTTTCTTATGTTATGTCTCACTTGATTCGATACTTTCAACAAATTTTATTGTGATGGTGTTGTTGGCTTACGAACTATTCTAAAAATTTCCTTCACCTTTACGTTCTTCAACACTAATTGATTGAAAAGTGTGT